AGTAAGATAAATTTAAAGTGGGAGGATGGAAAAACGCCTTTACTTAAAAAGTTAGGTCCCTACAAAATTTTACATGTCGAACGAAAAACGAAAAGGTTATGATATCTAGTTTTACCCTTTTTTTTCAAAATTTGTACGTAACGTAGCCCTTTTTTCAATACGAGGCAAAAACTTTGAAACCATAAGATTTCTATGAGAGATTTTTTAACATTTAAAATAAAAAATTTTAAAGGCTTTTCAAAAGTCGTAGCGATTGATGGCCCAAAAATATTTTAGCTCATTCGTTTGGATAGTTAAAAATTCCTGATGGGTTTTCGATCTCGGTCTCGGGGCCTAAGGGCCCTCGGTTTCATCCGAAAATTGAATAAATATGTTTTTAAAGAGTGTTAATTAAAAAAAATTAAGGACTGTTCAAGACTCAGTTACTTAAACTCTTTATTCAAGATAAGTTTGATGTGCATCTTATACACATTTAGAAATGTATATTGGCAAAGATTGAGTTTTTAAGTCAGCCTGTTGATCGGTATCAGGTCAGAAGTTACACATTTAAACAACAAAAGATGTCATTTTTTATATTATTATTAGTTACGTATCGTCGTATCTCGTAATTTAATGTTGCTATATACACTTGACTGACCTTATAACATGTTATCAAATATTGGTATTGGTACACGTACGTAGTTTTAAATGGTAAGTGTCTAACTACACTCTTTTGTTACATATATTGGAAAGATAAACGTAAGAACCTACTAAGGGACATTTCTTTAATGCAAATAACAATCTAGGGATAAGAAAAATTCATAACAAGAAAAGATTAAGAGAGATCGCAGTATAATGCTATACTGAATTTAATACCTACTCGTATATGCACATTGCCATAAAAGATTCCGAAATAAAAAACATAGAGAGGCACAGTAAAGACACTATAATTTGTGTCCCGTCAATCTGTAGGAAGTTGAACAGAAATTCACCTATTCTGTGGAAATGGCATTCAAACAAACCCACTTTTGCCTTGTTCAGCATGTTTTGCGCAGCATGAAGACCGTCGCAGCTGCCGCGCCACCTTGTACATAGCCTATCAAGTACGTATTTGGCTTGGCACTGACTTCAACCAGACTAGAAGATATCTATTGCTATTATAACTTTACTTGTTATATCGAGGGTCGCACTTATTTTAGTTTTTTCGATTGTTTTTGAATTTTTAGTACTCTTTGTTACTATTTTTAGAAATCGGTCCAACTTAAAAAAAAAAAGAATTCATTTAAACTACTTATCGAGTAAGACTACTCATCAATAATAAAGAACTTTTTTCTCTATATTATGGTGTCTGCTGGTTGCAGAATGACTTTATTTATATCGCGTGGATGCCCTCACGTGTACCTCATTACCTCAACCAGTTTCAGTGCCAAGGATGAAGTGGTATGTGTTGTGGTGGTGTTCAGTCATTCGTGTAGTCTATTCCACGGGACCCGGGATTCTCCAACAAGAAACCTACCGAGAACAAGCCGCTCTGCAGACTTAGGCTGCCTGAGAAACAGGTGACCACACAGTAGAGTAAGCAGACCCTTATCCACCTCAAGATAAAAGAAGCGCGTGCGGAGCAAGTCACGGCCACCGTCTCAGGTCTGTTTCTGATAGGATAACGGTCAGCCGCCAGGTCAGTGCTCCTGGATATCGAAGATCGTTTTTATGCTCTCCGACGCGTTTCTGGTGCGTCTAGAGCGGGACGGGCTCGCTTGTCCTCTCCCGTTCCCGTCGCGCCGCCTTTTACATTATGGACCAAAAACAGAATCATGGTTCCTAGTGAGGGGCTATCCAAACCAAGAGCCGTCACGACGTTGGTAGTATAGATTTTATAGGAAAAAAAGACATCTGGACCTTTAAACAAAAATCTCACATCAAGCCTTAGCTCCTTAATTGCTTAAAGCTTACGAGTCGATAACGATTGTCAAATGGAATACAAGTCAGAGACGATCGAATAAATAGTAAAGTTATTCTTTGTAGTGAAACCGTTTAGTTTAGTTTACAATCTATTATAAATTGTTTAGTACATACAATGTATTTATAATTGTTCCTATTGAGGCATACTTCTAACGTACGGAACGTAGGTACGTTTATGAATAGATACAGATGCGAATCTAAACAAACATTTGTACTCCAGATTACTATGAGATGAGTCAGAAATTGTTATTAACTAGGCTCTTAACAAACTGTTATACTTGTAGATGGCACAGCCACAGAATAGTAAATTATTTGTATTAAGCAGTTATAAATAAATACAGTTCAAATGTCCCCACTGAGCAACCCCTTTCTATTCTCCACTTTTACTCACTTTGCTCTGTCCCATTTTTAACTGACTTTAAGAAAACGAAGAGGTTCTCAATTCGGTTGTATATTTATTTTTACATTTGTTACTTTAGACGTCTATTATTAATGCAACCATTTTGATTTTTGTGCTTACGTAATATTATTAAAACGTTATTATTAAGAGAGACCAAAGATATTTTGATTACATTTTGATAAACAATTGTTCAATAGCTATTAGAAATCGTGATACAATTATTTTGGGGATAACATACATAAACCTTATAATTATGAATACACCTAATAGTACACTATTAGGTATATTATAATTATATTGTATAAAATATATTTGTCTTTGAAAATGCCTTACTAAACCGAAACTAATTTATTTAAGATTGTATTATTTCTGAACACACTTAACTATTCTTACTATTGACCCCTTCAGTTAAGGTTTCAGCTTGTGTTGGTTCAGTAAGTGCACTGGGTAGGACTCAAATCGCGATCACTTTGATCGCAAGTGCAACGCTTTGGTCATTGCGCTACCGCGGCTTTAATTACCACAATACGTTCCTAAACTTATTTTCAAGGCAATCTCAAAATTCTTTGTAATTTTTTGTACAATTTACATCTACGAGTATTATGAGTTTACCACGAATCTTTTCATACATATTAGTTTTTTTTTTTCAAAAATATAAATCGATAAAATTGTGGTAATACTTACATCCAAAGTTCAAAAATCCAAATTCAATCCTATTGTATGGGAAAAGAAACCTTGTTTAATATATCATATATGCTAAATATATTGTCACTGACAGTTTTAATCGGGTTGATTGGAAACATTTTATTTAACCGCATCGAACACCAGTCGATGTTGACCCGGTACTGACCCCGGTTTTTATAACACAGCCCGTTCATATATATTTTGAATGATTCTATTTTCCCAAGTCTGGATATTTCTGTTACAATATTCTATTCTTATCATGAGATAATAATAATATTGTAAAAACAATACTAACTAGAAATCGCCTGGCAGTCGAATTTCGACCATTTTGAATGTCTGGTTTTTATCTCATTGACCCGTATAACTTAAACTGTCATTATACAGACTTTAATATCAATGACAAGTCCAAATATGTATTGGAAACTTATAGGTTTAACTAGCCGTTACATCGTTATTAACTTTATGGTTTCATATTGTTTACAAATCTTAGCTTCCCCTTCTTCCAGCTTCCACTTCTTCTACGTAACTATAGACATTTAGAATTCCCAATAAGATATGTTTCTGTGCGAGAAATTTATTTCACATATATAGATAATATACTTTAATGCTACTACAGATTAGTTTGTGTGTTCACTGTCGTTCAGGTATATGAAACTTAAAATAATGAATAAGTAATGAACAAACATATTTTTTAGAAACCGTAGGTAGCCCCCAACCTCCGGTTAAAGTGAAGCGCTGTACGTACTTCAACTAAACCGGGGTTGAAGGTTAAGGCTCTCTACGCAATGGTGTGGCTGCCAACTACATATTAAAGCCGGAGTTCTCGGGTACTTTCTTCATAGAGTATCTTTGATCCAATTATTGGCACACGCAATGTTGTTTTAGTTAGTTCGATTCCTAGATATCACTTTACCACTAGTTATGGGACCGTTCTGATCCGTTTGGTTTTATCGTATGTACGATAGAAAATAGGTGAGTGCTTTAAAGTAACTTATACTCAACTATAACTGAATTTATTGATACTAGACAACTTGCAAATGATGTTAAAAACAAGCTCTCCACACGTCGTTAAATAAATTGTTAAGTTATTGTTGTTTTCATCTAAAGAGTTAATTGATTTTCGATAGTTTAAACTTAATTGCTTAAATTAATAGCTCTCGTGTTTCTAACTTTTTAAATCATAAAAAAGTTAGGAACACGCATAATCAAGCAGGTGTGTCAAGTGATGGAAAGTGACCCCCGCCGCCCACGGGGATCTGAAAGTCTGGAGTCTCGAATGCGTTGCCGTAATGTGCAAAACCGGAATTAGCAAACGTCGCTGCATATCATATATTGCTATTTATAAAGATTTAAATATTAACTTAAGAGTGGCAACATTTTAAGAAAACACATTAAAAATAACAACGTGAAATCGGTTACTGTTTAGGGAATTAACAAACAAGAAGTCGTTTCAACCTAAAACACTGTCCCCTTGTGTCATTTTTGTGCAATAAATAATTTATTAAAAATTGTTTTCTTATGTTGGCAACTTTTGGGTTAAAAGTGTACACGGCGCGAAAAGATCACGTCATCGCTCGCGTGGCAAGCACGATGAGGCGACGCGTCACAGTCATCTATATAGAAGGTCTGATTAAACTACATATATCTCGTTTTATTGCACTACACGGTACGCGGTAAAAAGAGATAGCTACTCGCTTGTTCCACAATAGCGGCAAAAGTAAACTTTATTCGAGTTCCAAGTTGCCGTAACCCGCACAGTTGTACACCGGTCGCAGACGACAGCGCACGCCTTATCCTGTTTCTGAACCGATATAACTTTTCGTAAGTTCGTCATGATGTTTGCGCTGTATGCTCGCGGTGTTGGCCTTAGCCGGGACTACCTTGGCGGGATCCGAGGTCACCGAACTTAAAGTCGACGTTGTGAGCGTTCCAGAAGGTTGCACCACCAAAGTCCAAACACGGTGACATGCTAACCATGCACTACACGGGCACATTAGACGATGGTCAAAAGTTCGACTCCAGGTAAGTGACATTCCTGCGATTGATTTCGCCCTGTTGATTATTTGATTTATTAATACCTATAATTGTTTACCAAAATTCCTTAGGGTACTTATTTTTAGTAAAGATGGTTCGTCGAGTCCATTTTTCTTTCAGTAACATAATATGGTTACTTGTAATCAAGATTAATTAATCTGTACGTGTGTTGCGAACATTGTTAACTGGCAATTTAAACGAATAATGTGCACTAAGCAGATGTTTGAGTTAATTGAGTTTAACCGGGATAACTGTTTTCCGTTAGAATCAAATACTACATAAAGGTAGCTTGGCCTACAACACACAGTAGGCTGTATAACAAACGTCACCAATCCGTTAACCCGTAAGCCAATAATCAAAAAAACTTTACAGTGTCACTGGGTGCGGTTAAAATTAAAATGATAAAAAAATCATAATGGTGAATTTCAGTCTCCAATATACCTATATGTATTAGGATGATTCCCAAAGAGAAAACAATTAAATTTTTAATAATATTAATTAGTTTGTGCAGTTAATGCAGTTTTGTGTCGTTATATTGATTTCCTATTAATAGTTGTTGGTGTTAAACTTGACATCCTACAGAATATGTAAAAGGTATGATTAGAATTTCCCTCGAATCCTTAAATTTAATGATAATTAGACATATCCATTCTAAACAGTTTACGTTTGTTTAACCGTAATGTCGTAAATTATACACTTTAAAATATCTCAAAGACCATAATACTATTTTGAATTAGTTTTTATTTTTTTGAATTGTTTTTTTTTCATTTTTCTTTATTCATTTTATTACACAATTACAAAATGCAAAAGAGTACCTACTCATACATCATTGAATGTACATATAAGTACTCTTTCGCATTTTCTAATTTTGTTCTATACCTTCTTCTAACTTAACCATAAGACAATCTAGCAAGACAATGGCAAGACTAGAGTATTAAGATGATTATTTTTAAAATGCAATTTAAAATAATGAAAGTTCAATTTTGATTTATAAAAATCTCATCAATAATTTTGTTAAGTATTAAAATCATAAAATATTGTCAAGCCTTTAACATTTCCTTCGAAATTCTTAAACGTTCGTACGTTTATTTACAGACATACAAACACAAATCTATTCAAGATGAAAACTCTAGTTACTTAAAATAAACCTGTGATGAAGCGTGCCAGTTAGAATAATCAATACTGACTTTCATTTATGCAAATGTTCATTACTAACTATGTTTTATCCGTTTTTCTTTTTCGTTTTACAGAATTTGCAACGAACACTATTTCAATTGAAAGAAACTTATTTACATAGGGTTTTCTTTGACAAAATACTAAAATGTGGATTCTTAATCGACATTTAATATTTAACTCGTCTGCATATTTATATGCCCCACTTTTCAGAGAGTTTTTATAGCTAGAGCATCGTATATCGGCGGTAGCATGTATGTTAGATTTTTTCTCGCTGCTGTGTAAACCCAGGTTGGGTTTGGATATGCGATTTTAGTTATTTAATACAATTGAAAGTCATTTGTAATGCCAGGCGTTTTATTTTTGTTAATGATAATCAATTTTAAATGATATAACCAATTTCAAATACATTATCATTTATATGGATTTTTTGCTGCAACAGGGCGTGAAATCCCTCTCATAGCTAAAACATTAAGGAGCGTAGTAGTGAGGCAGTGTACCGTGTAATTTGCTGTACACAATACAAACCTACAGAAATATGACATGTACTTATCTTTAAAATTTAAATATTCAACGGTGACATCTAGAATATAAACATCGTTCCGCGGTGGCGCAGCAAATCTTAATAAACGTAATAGAGGAAATAAAAATATGTAAATCAGCCCCGACAACATTGTTACCTGTTTGTTAAAAAAAAGTTAATCTTGGAAGTCTAATTTTGACGTTGAATCCTTGTTAACTTTCTAAATATAATAGCTCCGCGGTCTAATATCTGGACCTTTAATCTGACGAAGATTCCCAGTAATACTAGGTACTTTTAGTTATACGTGGCGGGTCTGTCTTTGAATGTGGTGAAATTATACAAATTATTAAATATAAGTATTGACAATGTTATTCTTTGCACAGGCAAATGGTTTAGATCAGACGAATTCATTCATGTCCGTCAAGAAATCTAAAGTTTTTGTACTGAGTAATTTCCACCTGCCTGTCTTAAGCCTTCCTAATTCTTGTGGTATTCAAAAATGGCGAAAATAATCATAATTTATCTTACCATACACATATCTACTCAAATATTACATACGAATGCGAAATTCAGGCGTAGGTGTGATTAACTAACAAAACTTGAGCTTGTTTGAGCAAGACAAAACTTTTGTTATTACCGTTTATGGATGCGCGTGTAAAATTTAGCGCTTAATTGTATACCTACATTCTTAACTTATTCACACATCGTTACCGACAATTTACTTATTTCAGTTATATTCCGTGAAATGGAAACTTTTTCCTCTAGATTGAGGACGAATGAGTCACGTTACCGACTGGAAATCGATGCTTTAGTTGTTTCAAGTGCAATAAAAATATATTAGGCGATACTGACTGACACGAAAAGATATTATATAAACGTCGTGCGCAATATCCGCACATTAGCAAATTTCTTAAAAACAATTTATACAACTATTATCTTAGGTGTTTCTGGCATCATTTTAAATACAATTCAAGATAAATTATTCACATATCCTTGTTTTTTTTTTTCTTAGACCGCTTTAACATACTTTTATTGAATATTTATTGTATTTATTTATTAAGGCATATTTTACAGAACAAACACAAACATGCCTACACATTATTGTTTTAAACTAAGTACACATTCTACTCTCATTACAAATATGCACAAAATTCACATATAGAAAACATAATTGACTTTATACATAACTAAAAACTTATATACTTTACGAGATCAGCAGACTAGATTATATTACGAATAGTAAATTTGCAGCAAAAATTAAAAATCTCAAGTCATAAAAAATAGTACATGATTTATCTAAGCTGTCTATATATTTTAATTGCCGATTTTTGTAATATATTTCAGTACTGGTTATTACAGACACAAAGTTTACTAAAAAGTTAAACTTTTTCCTAGATTATCATACAATATGGAGGATCGTGGACTGCTGGTCCGAGACCGTCGGCTACCCTAACTTTTTAATAGTATTTTTTTATGATATGGCATAAGACGGCTGTGAGCCTTGATCTGTTGTTGCTCAGGCCGCAGTACAGCCGCACCTAGCTCTATAAATTTAAGCGATTGACGTCAATTACACAGACTCACATGCAAATAAGTGATTGTAAGTCTGCGAGAGTACTACTTAACACCATTACAGGAGAAAGTGCATTTGATTATCTAAAACAATGGAGTAATCGCAAGGAGAATTAATCTCACTGTGTTTACGAGACTTGTGCAATAAGAACATACCATTGTACACCTTACTTCTATTTACACAAAATACTTTCCTTTTTAGCGAGAATGATTGTTACTACTTATAGATGTATCATATAATCCCGATAATTCAGTTTATTTTAATATAATATTAATTTTTGTATTGTTTGTTATTGTTATTGTTTGTTTAGTATGAACTGTGTAATAATATTAACAAAATAAACCTATAAATAACTTTATTACTTTATAAACAAACTCTTAAAACTTTTTGTGCACTTTTCAAAACTGTCGTACCAGCTACAGACGAACAGCAGTCCCTGAGGTCCAAATTGCGGTACGGATAGTAGAGCAGTACCCTGTTGCCAGACTTTCGCCAGTTTTTTCTATGTATTTGTCGTTTTAAAATAACAAACACCCACATTATTTGGCCGGAACGCGTATAAGGAAACTGAAACACTGCATAAACTGACGTAGGACTGGTGAGAGGATAAAATATATTTTTATTAGATTATTCTCAAACAGACACTCAGAATCTAGACTGTGATGACATAAGATGACCATAAATAACAAAAATCTTTAATCTAAACTTTTGAAATTCTAAACTTGCTATTAATAAGACGTCCATAATGCCTGACCTTTTCACGTATATGTAATGTAATGGTGGTCCAGTCTAAAACATAATCAAGTCTTTATTTAATTCAAGTACTTCGTACTAAAACGAATAAAAGAAGTTTAGGTTTTTATTATGAAAATAGATAACAATGAATGTCATTGGAGAACGATTCGTGTAAAAATAATCACTTGCCTAATTATGTATTATATTTTTAATTAATAACAAGTACTGAGTGACTTTTTAAAATTTCGTTCGGTTACGGAGAACTGGTAGAGAATTCAGTTTGTAAGATTTGACCCAAACAATACCCAGAATCACTGGACTAAGTGGGGGTGCAATTGAAGTTGTATCCCACACTCACTCAGGGATGTTTTTGAGGGTCTTGTACCATGTACCAACTAAATATTGTGTTGGTACGCAATAATACCAACTTCCTACATTGCTCATACATTCATTTTTTTTCTTGTATCACACACACAATATATAAGTTCTTGCTGTACGTCATAGTTACAGTTCCAGTTCATAATATTTATTTTTGACCCATTGAGTAACTTCCTTCAGATTTTTTTTTTAATTTAAAGAAAAACAACTTCCGCATTAGGAATATATCCTGTGTCGCGGGGGACTTTACAAACATGCATGAAACGGACACAAAGAACACCCAGACTCAGAACAACAATTTGTGGATCACACAAAGTGTCGTCCCATGTGGGGATCGAACCCACAACACTCAGTGTAGTAAGTAGTAAGTGGCGTGGCGACCGCTTAAACCACTACGCCATACGTGCAGTCTAACTCTATTTTAGATTAACTCTATCAATCGATCGAATTATCCATAGATGACCGGGAATGATTTTTCTCAGAAAATAATATAAAAATTCGGTCAATGTAACTCCCTTTTTTTAAGTATATAAAAACATTTATGAGATCTATTAAATAAAAACCGTCAACGAATAATGAGAATAATTATTATTCGTTATAATATTA